TATATATATANATATATATATATATATATATTAGTAGTAGTAGTAGTATAGTAGACGATATATATATATATATATATATATATATATATATATATATATTAATACATTCATATATATACGTAATACTAAATTCATATATATATACACACACACACATATATATATATATATATATATATATATTGATATATATGTATGCATACATATGTTCATACATACATAATACATACATACAAAGAATACATATATAAACACACTCACATATATATACAAAAATAATGTATACGTATATATATATATATATATATATGTGTGTGTGTGTGTGTGTAAACACGCAAGCAAACGTGAATAAATGGTAAACGATTTGTGTGATACAGCGTGAGCGTGTAATTGGCTTCTATGGTCCTACGCTATACTAAGACATGTGTACTTACGCTCTCAGACGTTTCAAGATAAACTGGTTGACCGTATGTGGTGCTGTTTGGTTCAGAGTTTCCTCGTGAAAGGTCACGTGTGGCGCAGACGAGGACGCGTTTGAGCTACGCTGTACCGTTGATAGCGACTGCACATCTTCCGACACCTGGTAGTTATACTTGGGTGCATTTGTTCCGACCACTACTTTGGGCACATATTCAGGAGTCCGAGGAATGTGTTGACCCGAGTCATCAACGCGTTCCCCCATGCTTGCTTATCGTCGTTGTGGATGTAGCTGTGTATATACAACAGTGCGCTCTAGGTATCTGAAACGACTACAGCCTATTTACAGGTTCCTACTCTACAATACAGCACATCCCCATTCCCCGTGACTCAGTCGAAAATAGATTTTTAGAAATAATACCATTTTTTACAGTATCTTTCATATTTTTTTAAAAGCAAAACAAAACAATTATAAAATACGTTGTTTTTAAAATTTAACCTACTAAAATACGGCTCATTCATATAGTACCCACACAACGGAAACGTTTAACGTAAAAAAAAGTTGAAGCTTGATTTTTCCAACGCTTCAACCAGAAACATATTTATGTATTTAGCCAAATTTGGTCACCCAGTCTGTGACTCATCGGTTTTTTTGAAGTCCATAAGTTACGTCATTATAATGTACAAAAGTATTTTTTGTGTAAATAAGAAAAGATAAAATATGTATGAACACAGGGTGATTTCATAGCCATTTATATTTACAGAAGGCCTTTTTATGGGTTTTTTATTATTAAAAACAAACAACACGTACATACATACTGTACATAATTTTTTATTTATTTAAAAGTCAATATATACATTATTTGTGTAAATATTTACGAAGGCAAAAAAAGAGGAATTTTTTTTCTGAAATATTTCACCTAATTTTATACATTGTATTGTGTGTTTCAATTGAAGGCTATTTTTAAAAAACAAATCTGATTTGTGGGGTTGTGTGTTTCCTGATGGATTTGCCAATTTGGTCCTCTACATACTGAATTCTACTACATACTAGGCTCTGACTCAAGTCTATGACGGCCTGACCTAAACCTGTGACTCTGAGGCAGAGAGGCTCTGGGTCCCGTCTGGGGCTTGAAAATGCCCAGGTCGACTCTACATATTTATTATTTTACGTAGAGAGAGAGAGAGTGGGTCAAAAGAAAAACATAGAAAAGATTAAAGTGGGGGCTTGGGCCTTGGGGACTTGCCACCAAATGGGCATTGGGGGTTATCTCAACATTACGTCACTGTATTAACGTCTGCACGGTGTTGAATGATTGGCCACGAATATATACGCGCGTAAAATTTGTGAAATGCGTCAAATGACCTGGGAAGACTGGTTTACGGCTTATGAGACAAAGCAGTTGTTGGAGCCCCATGGCCAATGGGAGGTCGCACGGAATTTTAATATGATATCGCCATACACGATCTAGATTTTTTTTTACTTGGATCAGGACTAATTTTTTTATAAAGTAAAAATATACATTGCCTTCTCATATTTATATTGTCAGATATTGTTGGCGTCAGTAACTCGGTATATAACAGGAAACAAATGTCAGTGTACGATCAGTTTGCTAAGGTACAACTTACATAAGGGCATAATCAGAACCACACACAAGTATAATGCTCACAAGTATTAAGAGAAACGTGTCGTTCGGTAAGTCAGCTAAACCGACCAACTATGAGTCTTTCAACATAGTAGATGAAATCCTGTACGATGATGAGACAAATCACAGCTCAGATGACTCGGACCACGTGATCGCTGAAGAGCTCAATATTAGGCGTATTCGGTCAACTTCGATGCCTGGCTTGCCTCAATGGCCTGCACAGAGAAACCATATGTCCCTTGTGGTGTCATTGACCCGTTCTGATTCTGCAAAAGTTGGCACGGACGAGGAGGACACGCATGTTGTAAAGTTGTCTCGCAAAATGGGCACATACGGTTTTACCCTAGTACAGGCAGCACATGGAAGTGACCTTGTAGTTGGGTGGATAAAGACTCAATCTCCCAGTTATCATGCCGGTCTCCGATTTGGAGATGTTGTCAAGCAAGTAAATGGTTTCCATACAGATGATTTTACACCCAAATATGCCACCAACTGCATCACAAGTGGGCCAACAGCAGTACTGACAATCATGAGAAATAAGTTTATACAGTCAAATACTATCGTTGCGCGAGACGGTCGTATTGGCGTCAGTATTTCTAATGGAATGATCACAAGTATCGAGAAAGATTCGGCAGCATATGTAACACAGCTTACAGCAGGGTACAAAGTGGTTGGGGTGAATGGTCAGACCACGCTGCGACACAAGCATCTGATAAAACTTTTGCGAGTGAGTTTGCTCTGCGATGATGTGATCGCCCTAAACACTATGCCATCTGGTCTATTTGTTTCCATCGTGCCTAAGCAGAAGTTAGAGGTGCAGCAATCGAGAAAGGATGTGGATTTCTAAACAGTCGAACAATCGTTAGTAGGGTAGACTGTTGTACTGTTGACTTGCAAATTAAATATTATTACATGATATTTTATTTTCACAGTTGCTCTTAGGGTCATATATGTCGAAAGTTTCAGTACCGTATTGCTTGTTACCTAGGGGTGTTTGAAATACGTGTTTACATGCATCTACATATAGTCTTCAACTTTGTACTGCTCATTGCACAAAGTACATCTGATTGAAATTTATCATGGCCCTATGGGGCGTTCCTTGCATATTCTAGGTTACAAAGCTACATATCAGAAGTAGATAGTTTAAGCGTCAAAGTGGTTAACGCTATATTCCACGAAGAACTTCCATGTCATCGAACACGCATGTTTCTATCTCCTTTTCATTTGGTTTTTGGGAAATATTCCATTTATACACGGAACAATGAAACAAGCTATGTACACAAATATACGTACAGACATACATACAAGAACTTTAATAAAGAAATACTTTATTAAAAACAGCATGACAATTGCAACCAAACACAGTCTGCTCAGCTCACGGGTTTGAGATCTTGATGACGTAATAACGATATATTTCGAAACTGTTTGTGATTGTTTTTTTTTACAAAATCGATTTTTTTTTATATGTACAAAAATATGTAAATACAAACATCCTCTATGATTTTACACCATCTCAGCCGTGGGGCGTGGGCGTGGTGGGTGCGGGTTGGTGGTCTGGTGGCCTGGGGGTGAGCTAAATATGTACACATAAATATGTATAACTTCTTGACATCTCTAAAAATGACACTAAAAGTATGTTTTTGTTTTAAAAACAAAACAAAACAAAATAGATTTTATGCATTTAACTTCTCTTGCCGAAGTAGATTGTAAAATATGTAAATATATCGAGTATATCCCGACTATGAGATGAGAGCTTGAACTATTTTTTGCTTTCAAGCTACTGTACACACAATAGCCCTCTAAATGAGACAATTAGACTTTTCGTTTTGCGTGGTTTAGTAGTAGAGTGACACTACATAATGACGTATTAAAGGGATAGTGGAATAACATTACGAGATGTGGCGAATATTCCTGTTCTCGTCGGCAATTAAGCTACTTCTTCTGGATACCTAGTAAGTATTTGTCACTGAAGTGTACCTTCGAAAGTATGTATTTGATCAAAGACAACTTCGACATATACACCTTTAGCATGAGAAAATAAGAATACTATCGCTGCCAGGATGAGAATAGTATAATACACTTAAAAACAAAATCAGTTGACTTTCACACTGTACTCAAATATGGAGACAGCAGGATGGATGGCCAAAAGCGATATATCGTCAAAACAGTGATGCCAAAGTGTGAAGAGCGTAAATTTTTCCAAAATTGATCACATTCCTTACGATATTCGGAGAATGAATGTCTCAAATTAAAAGGCTGAAACAAGCCCTGTCTACTGAACCACCTAATTTCAGTAATTTGTATCACAGTTCTCAAGTTACAACGCGAAAAAAAACGCTGTGGATGATCTGCTATTCAAACTGGTCTA